AATGGATCAAAGTAGAATGACATGGAAAGCATATAAATCTATAGGGGAAGGAAAGAGGGGGTAAAGGAGGTTTTGTGGGCGAGGGGCTTGGACTTCCAGCAAGCGTGCATGAGCGTGTTAGATAGGAGTGAATGGAGACGAATGATACTTGGACCTGACGATCTGTTGGAGTGTGAGCAGGGTAATATTTAGTGAAGGGATTCAGGGAAACCGGTTATTTTCATATAGTCGGACTTGAGTCCTGGAAATGGGAAGTACAATGCCTGCACTTTAAAGGAGGGGTTTGGGATATTGGCAGTTTGGAGGGATATGTTGTGTATCTTTATATGTTTATGCTTCTAAACTGTTGTATTCTGAGCACCTCTGTAAAAACAGTGATAATGTGCGAGTGTGGTGAAAGTGTTGAATGATGATGAAAGTATTTTCTTTTTGGGGATTTTCTTTCTTTTTTGGGTCACCCTGCCTTGGTGGGAGACGGCCGACTTGTTAAAAAAAAAAAAAAAATATATATATATACAGGTCTCCCTCAACATTCACGTTTTCAGCTTTCGCGGGCTTCACACATTCGCGAATTCCCAGCCACCAAATTCCCAGCCGCCAAATCATATTCAAGTTTCCCGCCACCTGCGAGTCCCTACTACCCTCCCTCCGACCCCCGCAACTGGCAGCCAGCCCTCCCACTACTCAGTGTGGTGAGTGTTTTGTTTGTTCATTATTTGCTATTAAACTACAGTATAAATAATGTAAACACATTCATGACTGCATATTGGAATGGCTATTTGGACAGGGATTGGACGGTGACATCATGTGTTTACTCTTGAACACAGCAAAGAATCAAACATTTCTGCTACTGCTAATAATAACAATAGTAATAATAATAATAATAATAATAATATGATATAATTGAAGAAGGAAATTGTACAAAAATACGAGGGAGTGGTTGACACATCATCAGTGTGGCTTTGTTTATGCTGGAGTGAACATTAGTCTCCCTGCTCTTCCAAACATTTCACAATAATTCATTGTTTGGTGCTTGTAAATTGAGTGTGACTGGAGTGGTTGAGACAGTGGTAGAGGCAGCGATAGAGGCAGTGATATTTACTAACATATATGTTATAAATAATAATAGTACATTATGAATAACATTTATTATTATTATAAATGTTATTAATATTAACATGTACTATTATTATTTATAACATACGTATATGTTAGTAAATACCACTGCCTCTATCACTGCCTCTACCACCGCCTCAACCGCTGAATTATTGTGAAATGTTTGGAAGAGCAGGGAGACTAATGTTCACTCCAGCATAAACAAAGCCACACTGAAAGATGTGTCAACCACTCCCTCATATTTTTGTACAATTTCCTTCTTCAATTATATCGTATTATTATTATTATTATTATTATTATTATTATTATTATATTATTATTATTACTACTATTGTTATTATTAGCAGTAGCAGAAATGTTTGATTCTTTGCTGTGTTCAAGAGTAAACACATGATGTCACCATCCAATACCTGTTCAAATAGCCATTCCAATATGCAGTCATGAATGTGTTTACATTATTTATACTGTAGTTTAATAGCAAATAATGAACAAACAAAACACTCGCCACACTGAGTGGTGGGAGGGCTGGCTGCCAGTTGCGGGGGTTGGGGGGAGGGTAGTAGGGACTGGCATTGGTTGAGGAAGTGGTGGAGGCAGTGGTGGAGTCTGTGGTATTTAATAACATACATGTTATTAAAGCATAACATGTATATATTTAGTACAACTTACGACGTTTTCATGTATTTTATGATTGTTCGTGGTTCAACAATTTAAGCAGTATTGTATTATATTTCCCTACAATATATTGGGGCACCAAACATTCATGGTTTTTCAACATTCGCGAGGCTCTTGATCCCCTAACCCTCGCGAATGTTGAAGGACACCTGTATATAATATATATATATATATATATATATATATATATATATATATATATATATAATATATATTATATATATATATATATATATATATATATATAATCTTTCTTTCAACACACCGGCCATATCCCACCGAGGCGGGGTGGCCCAAAAGGAAAAACAAAAGTTTCTCCTTTTACATTTAGTAATATAGTATACAGGAGAAGAGGTTACTAGCCTTGCTCCCGGCATTTTAGTCGCCTCTTACAACACGCATGGCTTACGGAGGAAGAATTCTGTTCCACTTCCCCATGGAGTTAAGAGGAAATAAACAAGAACAAGAACTAGTAAGAAAAATGGAAGAAAACCCAGAGGGGTGTGTATATACATGTACATATATGCTTGTACATGTATGTGTAGTGTGACCTAAGTGTAAGTAGAAGTAGCAAGACGTACCTGAAACCTTGCATGTTTATGAGACAGAAAAATGGACACCAGCCATCCTACCTTCAGGTAAAACAATTACAGGCTATGATTTTAGTTGACTGGAACAATGGAATTGACCGAAAATGGGCTCAAAGTGGGCAAAATCACCGATGCGTGAATGTCGCTGATATCGCTAAATTCTCAAGAGTGTAGTTTTGAACGTTTTCCATTAAATTTCGTACTTTTGGTGTTATTACCATCGAGAAAAGATTCTCCATCATTTCATAAGAATTTTTGTTTTTTTTAATTTTTTGACCCTGAGAGTGAGTTAATGCATTGAATACACAAATAACCCGCACATAAAAGAGAGAAGCTTACGACGACGTTTCGGTCCGACTTGGACCATTGACAAAGTCACACTGACAGAGGTGGAGCAGGACGGCTATATATAGGCAGGAAGAGGTGGAGGTAGTAGTAGTAGTAGTACAAGAATTGTATATAATACCCTTCCATTAAGTTTAAAGCTGAATGGGAATCTAATTCCTTACTTCCTTTCCTTGATGTCCATGTCCACCGCTCAGATACAGGTTTTTCCTTTTCCGTTTACCGTAAACCTATGCACAGTGGCATGTACATTCACTACTTTTCCTATCATGCTTCCCCTGTCAAGAAAAGTGTTCTTATCTCCCTCTTTCTCCGTGCCCTCCGCATCTGTGATCCTCAGTTCCTTCCAGCAGAAATTTCCACTCTTCATAATTCGTTCTCCCGTCTTGGCTACCCTTCCCATTTCATAGACTCTGCCCTCTCACGTGCTAAACGCAATTTCTTCTCTCCCAAACTCTCTACTCATGGGAACTCTTCTATCCTCTGCCTTCCCTACATTTCCGGTCTTTCTAATCTCAACAATTCTCTCCGTCCCTTAGACATCAAGCTTACCTTCCGCCAGACTAACACTCTTCGCACTAATCTCGTTCATACCTCTCCTCCCTCTACAGATGTTCCTGGTGTCTACTCTATTTCTTGCTCCTCCTGTCCTCTTCAATACTTCGGAGAAACTGGTCGATCTCTTTCTGACAGACTTAGGGAGCACAAAAATAGTGTTAGGCTTGCCGACACTAACAATGCTCTTTTCTGTCACGTCAGAGATCATAGCCATCCTATTGACTGGTCTTCTGCTAAAACTGTCTTCCCTACTTCCAACTCGAACAGTCGCCGTTTAGTTGAATCCTCTCTAATACACAACTTTCCTTGTATGAACCTTAGCCCTGGCTTCGTCTCTGTAGATGCCTTCCTCTCCCACTACATTGTAAAATGCTCCAAACTTCAGAACACTCGTGACTTAACCTGAATCCTCATTTCTTCTTCTTCTTCTTCTTTTTCTTCTTCCTCTTCCCCTTTCCTCTCTCCTTTTCTCCTCTGGGTTGTCTTTCTCTCTCCTGTCTCGTGTTTCTGTTCCTTCTTCATTTATTTTATTTCACCACTTCCCCTTTCACGCACCTCGGTGCGCTTGCTCTCCCTCTGTGGGTTTCTAGCTCTCTTGCAGTGCTCCCCTTCCTTTGTATTTGACTGGCTCGTCTTCCTTATTTCCCACTTCTACCACTACCACTACTACTACCTCCTCTTCTTCTACTACAACTACTGATGAAATTAAGACACATGTGCGGCGTCTGGTTGTCTTTGTTGTGGACGTTTCGCCATCCAGCCTGGCGCTGGATGGCGAAATGTCTACGGTGGGGATGCCCGGGTGTTGTGCATGTGTCATTTCATCCTGTCGGTATTATATACAATTCTTGTACTACTACTACCTCCACCTCTTCCTGCCTATATATAGCCGTCCTGCTCCACCTCTGTCAGTGTGACTTTGTCAATGGTCCAAGTCGGACCGAAACGTCGTCGTAAGCTTCTCTCTTTTATGTGCGGGTTATTTGTGTATCGTTCCAGTCACGGTATTGTGCCTTTTTGTTATTTAATGCATTGAATACTTTTCAAACCTTTATACAGGTGTTTTATATAAATTAATCATTCATGTTATATAAATTTTGGAAAGCATTTGTCAAGTAAGGAAAATGCTGTTAGTGGATAGGGCCTGCTCTTGCTTAGTAAGACGGGTAGTAGGGTAGGAGTTATTGTTCATGGCCCAGCAAGCAGACAGGAAATCTATGGAGGGACTAACCCTCTCACCCCCCTCCTCCTTCCTCCATCTATATTTTACAGTAAGTAATATGAAGACTTTTTTTTTTCCCCCTTCACTAAGAAATTGGCCTCTAAGATGCACTTAGAGGCCATGAAATAGAGGATTTGCTGTCAATGCAAGCTGCCCATCCATCTGTGTATCTATGGTTCTGTATGTGAAAATGTATTACAGGTTTCATAAGTAATGAAAAACATTTATTTAGAAAACAGAAAATGAACTTTTAAGTTTCTGTAGACACGTCTTGAAAGCCTGTTTGAAACAGGTAAAGAGTATCTTAAAGCAGAATGGTATTTTAGTGTGGCACTAATGAAGGGTACACAATAATTGTAAAAGCTTTTACCAACCTTATTTTTGTTTTTACTCTCTGTGACTTCAGTACTTGTAGTATAACCATTATTAATCTATTCTAAGACACAGGCACACAGAAACACACACACTCATTCCTTGTACTTTGTATATTTCAGGAAGTAGAAGAGGCTATCCAGCTAGCAGATGCAGCTCTGGCAATAAAGAAAGACTCCTACGAAGCATTTTATGCTCGTGCCCGGGCTAAACGAGAGGCTAAGTGAGTGCATTTATGAGTTTTAATGTTAAATAATTAGCCTTTTCAAGTTCTATACCATATTTTATCCTTCAATTGAGATGTATTGTTACCAGTGAAGGGCTTATGATCCAGGGAATTGAAGCTACTCTGTACTTCCATGAAACTCATATAACTTTATGGGTTTAGTGAGTAAACAAAAAAAAGACAATATAAAAATGAATCTTAATTAGCATATTTTTATAAAATAGTTCACCTGAGTTGTGAATTATTTAAGAACATAATGTTTCCTGCTAGCTCAGCAAGTTCACATAATTCTAAATAATAACTGGACACCATTTTATTTTTCATCTATGAGATTCAAGAAAATAGTACTGTACTTAACAAAGATTACTGTCATTTTTACCTATTCTTAATTCTCCTAGGTGAAAAAACTCTTGAAAATGTCAATCTATGTACTGTGCATCATCCTGGGAGTAAGTCAGTAGTAGGATCATATTGCCTGTTGACTTTACTATATAAATAAAATGAACCCTCAAAAACAGTATTCATCTATGCAGTGTTATCTATAAACTTGTACTCACAAGTAGTTTTCTCACATTTGAGATACCTATTTGAGATACCCATTTGAGATACTATAAGGTAGTAGGTTGGTAGACAGCAACCACCCAGGGAAGTACTACCGTCCTGCCAGATGACTGTGAAACAAAAACCTGTAACTGTTTTGCATGATGGTAGGATTGCTGGTTTCTTTTTCTGTCTCATAAACACGCTAAGATAACAGGGATATCTTGCTACTCCTACTTACACTTTGGTCACACTTCACAGACACGCACATGCATATATATATATACATACATCTAGGTTTTTCTCCTTTTTCTAAATAGCTCTTGTTCTTTTTTATTTCTTCTATTGTCCATGGGGAAGGGGAAAAGAATCTTTCCTCCGTAAGCCATGCGTGTCGTATGGGGCGACTAAAATGCCGGGAGAAATGGCTAGTAACCCCTTCTCCTGTATACAATTACTAAAAAAAGAGAAGAAGAAAAATTTTATATAAAACTGGGTTCTTAAATGTGCGTGGATGTAGTGCGGATGACAAGAAACAGATGATTGCTGATTTTTATGAATGAAAGAAGTTGGATGTCCTGGCCCTAAGCGAAACAAAGCTGAAGGGGTAGGAGAGTTTCAGTGGGGGAAATAAATGGGATTAAATCTGGAGTATCTGAGAGAGTTAGAGCAAAGGAAGGGTAGCAGTAATGTTAAATGATCAGTTATGGAAGGAGAAAAGAGAATATGAATGTGTAAATTCAAGAATTATGTGGATTAAAGTCAAGGTTGGATGCGAGAAGTGGGGCATAATAACGTGTAAAGCACCTGGAGAAGAAGGAATGCAGAGGAGAGAGAGAGATTTTGGGAATGTTAAGTGAATGTATAGGAGCCTTTGAACCAATGAGAGAGTAATTGTGGTAGGGGACTTGAATGCTAAAGTAGGAGAAACTTTTAGAGAGGGTGTGGTAGGGAAGTTTGGGGGGCCAGGTGTAAATGATAAGGAGCCCTTTGATTGAACTTTGTATAGAAAGGGGTTTAGTTAAAGGTAATACATATTTTAAAAAAAAAGAGGATAATAAGTATACACGATATATGTAGGGCGAAATGACAGTAGTTTGTTGGATTATGTATTGGTAGATAAAAGACTGTTTTAGTAGACTTCAGGATGTACATGTTTATAGAGGGGCCACAGATATATCAGATCACTTTCTAGTTGTAGCTACACTGAGAGTAAAAGGTAGATGGGATACAAGAGAATAGAAGCATCAGGGAAGAGAGAGGTGAAGGTTTATAAACTAAAAGAGAGGCAGTTAGGGTAAGAATATAAACAGCTATTGGAGGATAGATGGGCTAATGAGAGCATAGGCAATGGGTCGAAGAGGTATGGGGTAGGTTTAAAAATGTAGTGTTAGAGTGTTTCAGCAGAAGTTTGTGGTTACAGGAAAGTGGGTGCAGAGGGAAGAGGAGCGATTGGTGGAATGATGATGTAAAGAGAGTAGTAAGGGAGAAAAAGTTAGCATATGAGAAGTTTTTACAAAGTAGAAGTGATGCAAGGAGGGAAGAGTATATGGAGAAAAAGAGAGAAGTTAAGAGAGTGGTGAAGCAATGTAAAAAGAGAGCAAATGAGAGAGTGGGTGAGATGTTATCAACAAATTTTGTTGAAAATAAGAAAAAGTTTTGGAGTGAGATTAACAAGTTAAGAAAGCCTAGAGAACAAATGGATTTGTCAGTTAAAAATAGGAGAGGAGAAGTTATTAAATGGAGAGTTAGAGGTATTGGGAAGATGGAAGGAATATTTTGAGGAATTGTTAAATGTTGAATGAAGAAAGGGAAGCTGTGATTTCGTGTATAGGGCAAGGAGGAATAACATCTTGTAGGAGTGAGGAAGAGCCAGTTGTGAGTGTGGGGGAAGTTCGTGAGGCAGTAGGCAAAATGAAAGGGGGTAAGGCAGCCGGGATTGATGGGATAAAGATAGAAATGTTAAAAGCAGGTGGGGAAATAGTTTTTGGAGTGGTTGGTGCAATTATTAATAAATGTATGGAAGAGGGTAAGGTACCTAGGGATTGGCAGAGAGCATGCATAGTTCCTTTGTATAAAGGCAAAGGGGATAAAAGAGAGTGCAAAAATTATAGGGGATAAGTCTGTTGAGTGTACCTGGTAAAGTGTATGGTAGAGTTATAATTGAAAGAATTAAGAGTAAGACGGAGAATAGGATAGCAGATGAACAAGGAGGCTTTAGGAAAGGTAGGGGTGTGTGGACCAGGTGTTTACAGTGAAACATATAAGTGAACAGTATTTAGATAAGGCTAAAGAGGTCTTTGTGGCATTTATGGATTTGGAAAAGGCATATGACAGGGTGGATAGGGGGCAATGTGGCAGATGTTGCAAGTGTATGGTGTAGGAGGTAGGTTACTGAAAGCAGTGAAGAGTTTTTACGAGGATAGTGAGGCTCAAGTTTAGAGTATGTAGGAAAGAAGGAAATTTTTTTCCCAGTAAAGGTAGGCCTTAGACAAGGATGTGTGATGTCACCGTGGTTGTTTAATATATTTATAATGGGGTTGTAAGAGAAGTAAATGCGAGGGTCTTGGCAAGAGGCGTGGAGTTAAAAGACAAAGAATCACACACAAAGTGGGAGTTGTCACAGCTGCTCTTTGCTGATGACACTGTGCTCTTGGGAGATTCTGAAGAGAAGTTGCAGAGATTGGTGGATGAATTTGGTAGGGTGTGCAAAAGAAGAAAATTAAAGGTGAATACAGGAAAGAGTAAGGTTATGAGGATAACAAAAAGATTAGGTGATGAAAGATTGAATATCAGATTGGAGGGAGAGAGTATGGAGGAGGTGAATGTATTCAGATATTTGGGAGTGGACGTGTCAGCGGATGGGTCTATGAAAGATGAGGTGAATCATAGAATTGATGAGGGAAAAAGAGTGAGTGGTGCACTTAGGAGTCTGTGGAGACAAAGAACTTTGTCCTTGGAGGCAAAGAGGGAATGTATGAGAGTATAGTTTTACCAACGCTCTTATATGGGTGTGAAGCGTGGGTGATGAATGTTGCAGCGAGGAGAAGGCTGGAGGCAGTGGAGATGTCATGTCTGAGGGCAATGTGTGGTGTGAATATAATGCAGAGAATTCGTAGTTTGGAAGTTAGGAGGAGGTGCGGATTACCAAAACTGTTGTCCAGAGGGCTGAGGAAGGTTGTTGAGGTGGTTCGGACATGTAGAGAGAATGGAGCGAAACAGAATGACTTCAAGAGTGTATCAGTCTGTAGTGGAAGGAAGGCGGGTAGGGGTCGCCTAGGAAGGGTTGGAGGGAGGGGTAAAGGAGGTTTTGTGTGCGAGGGGCTTGGACTTCCAGCAGGCATGCGTGAGCGTGTTTGATAGGAGTGAATGGAGACAAATGGTTTTTAATACTTGACGTGCTGTTGGAGTGTGAGCAAAGTAACATTTATGAAGGGATTCAGGAAACCGGCAGGCCGGACTTGAGTCCTGGAGATGGGAAGTACAGTGCCTGCACTCTGAAGGAGGGGTGTTAATGTTGCAGTTTAAAAACTGTAGTGTAAAGCACCCTTCTGGCAAGACAGTGATGGAGTGAATGATGGTGAAAGTTTTTCTTTTTCGGGCCACCCTGCCTTGGTGGGAATCGGCCGGTGTGATAATAAAAAAAAAAAAAAAAAAAAAAAAATATACCAATTTAGTAAGTGCAAGGTGGAAGTAAATCAGCTGCTAGCTGTGTTGGTAGCCACTACATGTGATATTCCCTATCCTCTGCACCATCAAGGTTAAAATGTAATGCATTGCCATACATAACGTACTGCTGTACTACTCAAATATCCACAATACAGTAATCAACACTGCAGTGCCATTTAGTAACCCTTCGACTGTTGCGGACATATATATAATCAATAATTCTAGCGGCTTCAAATCAAGCAGGAGAGAGCTGGTAGGCCCACATGTGAAAGAATGGGTCTGTGTGGTCAGCGTGCACTGTATAAAAAAAATCCTGCACAACGCAGTGCATGAGAGAAAAAAACTCCGACCGTGTTTTTGGGTTAAAACGCCGACTTTGAGGTGTATTTTCCTATAATATTTATGGTTGTATTCTCGTTTTTTGGTCTCATTTGATAGAATGGAAAACATATTACAGAAATAGAAATGATTTTGATTAGTTTCACGATGAAAATGACCTTGCAATTAAGCTCAAAGTAGCAGAAATGTTCGATTTTTACCAATGTTCAAGAGTAAGCAAATCACACCACACGTCCAATACACATCTGCATAACAGTAAATCTTCTATTTTTTGTGTGAATAAAAAATCAAAATAGAAAGCCTGGAGACATGACTAATGAACAGAGGATATGTTGTTTTAGTGCCAAGAATGTCTGCATTGTTTATTCTGGACCCCATTTTGAAATTGGCATCTTTTTTAATTTGTATGAAATTGGCCAAATTGCCAATTTCTGACGACTTTATTGGGTAGTTGAAAATCGGTAAATGGGCAGTTTCTTGTACTCGATAGAAAAAATGGAGTTCTAAAGAAATAGCTATGAGTTTGGTTGACTAGAACAATAGAATTAGCCGAAAATAGGGCTCAAAGTCGGTGAAATTGCCAATGCGTATATATCACCGAGATTGCTAACTTCACGGGAGCGTAATTCCCTAAGTCTTCGATCAAATTTCGTACTTTTGGTGTCATTACCATTGGGAAAAGATTCTCTAACATTTCGTAACAAAAAATAATTTTTTTTTTTCCCAAAAATTTTTTCGACACCAGGAAACACTTCTGGATTTGAGGTTGCGACAGTCAAAGGGTTAAATTGCACATGTATTTGGCAGAAGCTTTCCCACTTGTTTTTACGCCACTGAATCTACAGCCTTAGAACTATTATCCCACCTTGGTTCATTGCAAAGCCCTGTTTGCCCCTCCGAGGTTCCTTGATGCTGTTGAAGGGCTCTTGATTTAGGAATTGTATCTGTGCTTCAATTGCCTGAATTTGCTTCCTCCCCTTGCAGGTGCTGTATAATCCCTATGGGTTTAGTACTCCCCCCATAATAATCAAATCCCTGTCCTATGCAAGATATGCAACCCACAGCAGCCTACTAACATCCAAATACACGTACCTATATCTTGTTCCCAAATTGAACCTTGGTTCTTTAATTACAAACTGGAGGTGCTGCCACTGAACCACGAGCCACCTCTTCTGCAACCTGTTCTCTAATACAAGCATGCACTACTTGCCAAATTGCCCATTATTCATTATTGCTTGCTAAAAAAAAATTAATTAATTTTAGTATTCTTTGTTCTTAGGTTTTCCTCAGGCATTATATGATCCTTACTAGTTTAACACTCCCCCCCCCTTCCATGAATATAATTAGAATTATGGTAATAAAGTATATTGACTTTACTATAATTCAAGGTCAGAAGTATTTCAGTTATGGCATTATTATGCCTTGTGTATATTATTATAATCAAAAAGAAGTGCTAAGCCACAAGGGCTATACAGCGCCTTGTGTATAATATTAGTAACCTGTGTTTGCATGTTGGAGAGAGTAATCCCTTGCAAACAATTTGGTTTGTGAACCGAATAAAAAGTTGAATTTTATTGACTAGTTATGTACACTACTTAGGGAAGGTTCCTTGATGCTCGTAAGGGGCTCTTGGCCCTGTCCTTCCCTTCCATAAATCAAGCCTGATTGCCTCCAGTTACATAGGCATTGTATGATGCTTAGCAATTTAGTGCTTACCCCCCAAAATGGACACAAAATATGAATACATTTGAATGTTTGCAGTGTTTATATGTAGATCATTGATCATAAATTAGTTCCAAAAAACCTTTCTCATAAGTGTGGGTGTTCATAACTCAGATCACAAGGTGGGGGATCTACTGTAATTTTATTTTCCCCTCCTAAGAGTTTATATTCCTACAACCAAACTGACATTTCAAATTATATATGGAATCTGATTGTACTCTTGGTGTTACACTGTATAGTATATCTAATTTTTAATTCAGTATACTAACTTTTTTTTTCTTTTGCAACATCTTGTACAGTACTGTTTTATCTTAAACTAATAATCCAGTCATTAAACCTAATGTAAAATTTATTTACAGACATCTGCAGGAGGCTCTTGAGGATGTGAATGAAGCTGTAAGGTTGGCTCCACAAACTCGTGATGTGCGCCGTGTCCTTATCAAGATCCGTGATGAGATGCAATCAGAGATAGATACCTGTGCCTCCACTGACCTTGCACAACTCCGTCAACTGGCAGCTTCTGTTGACACCCTGTCAGAAGCTGACCTACCCATGACTTCTAGTATTCTTTCTGAATCTGGTTACTCCTCAAACATCTAGACTAAATTTTTAGCACAATGCTCAATGGCTCCAGTGAAAGTAAGCCATCAGTTTTGATTTTCAAGGGTAGAATTTATGTAGGCTCGTCATAATATCAGAACTTTGTCATTTGTGCATAATCTTTTTTCATTTTAAAAATTACAACAAACTGTTGTCAGTAATGTAGATCTTTATAAGACAAATAGGATTGTGTGCACAGTAGTCAACCCATGTGCAAATTTATGAGCCAAGATGTATCCAGAAGAGACTTAATTGTTACCATTGTTTATTTGGAAATGCAGATTAACCCTAATAATTCCATTTCAAGAATTCCACTTGATATGAGACATACCCATAAGATGGCATGAGCCTTGAGTTTTCTTTTAATATTCTTTCATGGCATCCAATATCTTTTCCATTTATTGTATCCAGAATGTGCTTCAGTGTTGCATGTAATCTGTTGCATTTAATTTCTTTCCATAGTATGTATTTATTTTGATACAAACTATATATACTACTTTCATCTCTCCCCTTCCCATTCCCCCAAAGGCTCATGTTAATGGACGTTATTTTCCGGATTGTGACTGTATATCCACACTAATGGTTTGAAAACCAATTGTGACTTGCCTATAAAAAGCTCCTAAGTCTCACTTCAACAAGCCTGCTGAGACTTGCCTGATATTGACCTCTTGATTTGGACTCTTGTAAAAAAAAAAATTCTTTGGAGGCCAGAGCTTTAGCTTTGTTTTTGCAAATATTTACCTAATCTGGCTCTTTCTCTGGCCCCATTTATAAATGTGATGTGTCTAGCAAGTATGATCTTAATGTAATACTTTCATAAGTTTATCCATTTTCTTGAGAACTGACAAAATTAAAATACGAAATGTTACACAAGGGCCTGCTTGCTACTGCACATCGCTGTTAAGGGAAGTGGCTAGACCAGTGTGTAGACCCATCAGCCCACTAACCATCAGTAGTAGGTGTGCTCATTCATCCCAGTGTTGTTAAGAAGAGTGGCAGAATGAACTAAAAAAAAAATTAATTTTAAATGCATGTTAATTATTTTAGTCATTGGTCCTTCTTATAATTAATTCCCTTTAATTTGGAAGTCCTCCCTCTACTTGACAACATTGTATTATCCTGCATGCCAAGGTTGTGGCTCTAACATCCTTGAGAGTACTGTACCATCTGTCTTAGTCACCAAGTGAAAAACTCAATGCTTGTGGTAATTACAAAATTAAAAATGAAATAAAAAGTGTGGTTATACCTACATAAGTATGAAATTTTGACAACCTGTATGAGTGTAATTAGTGTGCAAGTTTTGCTTGAAAGCTTTTTGGAGTATGATTGAAGCATGAATGTATTTCCTATTTACTTGTGGTATATTGTGTATTAGATAACTTGTGGTATCTCAGAGAGAGAAAAAAAGCTTCCTCTCTGTGACATCATGACTTGATTCATATAGGAAGGAGGCACAACATATCAAATCCATTATATGTAATAAGTGTTTGCATCTTATTTTTGATTGGTATTCTTAGATATTCACTGTATTAAACATCCTTCTTACATCCAGTTTTAGTTGTGTGTGCATATCCACATGGTCAGTGTTATGCATGTTTAAGCTTTATGTTGTGCCTCTGTCCTGTCTCCCCCTCGGAATGTTCCTTCATGAGTACTGTTCATGATCTGGCTGAGGAGAAGAGCCAAACTTATAATCAGAAACCAGATGCCAGACTTCTTTACCGACAATTTGGGGCTTCAGCAGTGGCATGTCTGGAAAATCCTGCTTTCTGCTTAATATGGCTCTTCTCCTTTGCCTATAAAAACTACATCTAATTGGTTCATAGATATTTTTGAATTGGCTTTCTGAATTGGCTTTACAACTTTTACACTGCAATAGTCATCTGGATATATAAACTCTGGCATAACCCCATTCAATTAAAAAATACTGGTAGACCTCTTTAATTTTCAAAGAGGACTTTTCTGAGTGTAAAGACCATTCCTATATACTGATATATAGGAAACTTTGGTTAGCAAGACTACACAGTTCCTTGTGTAGCAGAACAGAAAAATGGGGTCATTAGTTTGGGATTACTGTGTGGATTCTAAATTCTTCATTGTACAGTAGACATAAGTTGAAAAGGCATAGGGATGGAGATGTATAGTATGAATGACGCCCATGGCGGAAGTTGCTAGTCATTTTACTAGAATTAAGTAATGGTGAGGACAGGCATATAGTAGAATAAAGCTTGTATAATTACTGTATAGTGTACAAACACCAATAGCCATATAATTGACCATTTTCTAATCATTTTAGAATTTAAGGATTAATTTCAAGCATCTCATAATTTAGGTAAATTTTCCATTAGTCTCCAAAATGTAATTCAGGGGCTAATTTGTTATCTATGAATCCCTATGATACAATCACTTTCATTGTCATTAAATTTCTAATAGTACAATTTGTTAGAAAAAATCACAACTTTCATGATCTTGATCTCTTTACCATTCTTCTGATCACATTTGCTGCCAAATTTGTATATTATCATATTATGAAATGGTCTGCTATCAAATATATAAAGGTTAAAATTGTTTCTGTGTTATTTTCCTACATCACTTATGTCTCAAGTCAGTAGGAGGTTCCTTGCTGCTGGTGAGGGGCTCTTGATCTAGGGAACTGGATCTGTGTTCCAGCTCCCTGAATACCTTCCATCCCCCCCCCCTCTACATGCACTGTATAATCCTATGCATTTAGTGCTCCCCCATGATTACAATAAAGTAGGAGACAACCAGCATAATAAAAAAAAATATGCAAAAATTTTTAATAACACATCGGCCATTTCCCACCAAGGCAGGGTGGCCCGAAAAAGAAAACCTTTCATCATTCACTCCATCACTGTCTTGCCAGAGGCATGCTTACACTACAGTTTTAAAACTGCAACATTAACATCCCTCTTTCAGAGTGCTGGCACTGTACTTGCCAAGTCCAGCCTGCGTTTTTCCCTGAATCCCTTCGTGTTGCCTTGCTCACACTCCAAGTTCTAAAAACCATTTGTCTCCCTTTGCTCCTAACACATTCACACACTCCTGCTGTAAGTCCAAACCACCTTTACCCCCTCCCTCGGCCAACCCCTATCCCATTTTATTTTGTTCCATCCTCTCTACATGTCCAAACCATTTCAACCCCTCCTCAGCCCTCTGGATAATAGTTTTAGTAATCCTGCACCACCTCCTAATCTCTAAACTATGGATTCTCTGTATTATATTCACACCACACATTGCCCTCAGACATAACATCTCCATTGCCTCCAACCTTCTCCTTGTTGCAACATTCATCACCCATACAAGAGCATTGATATAACTATGTACTCTCATACATTCCCCACTTTGGTTTCATGGATAAAGTTCTTTGTCTCCACAGACTCCTCAATGCACCACTCATCTTTTACTCCTCATCAATTCTATGATTCACCTCTTCTTTCATGGACCCATCTGCTGACACATCCACTCCCAAATGTCTGAATACAGTTACCTCCTCCATGCTCTCCCTCCAATCTGATATCCAATCTTCCGTGACCTAATTTTTTGGTTATCCTCGTCACCTTACTCTTTCCTATATTCACTTTTAATTTTCTTCTTTTACATACCCTACCAAACTCATCAACCAACCTCTGCAACTTCTCCTAAAAGCAGTGTCATCAGCAAAGAGCAACTGTGACAACTACCCCTTTGTGTTAGATTATCTTTTAATGCAACACCTCTTGCCAACACCCAAGCATTCACTTCTCTTACAACTCCATCTATAAATATAGTGAACAACCATGGTGACATCACACATCCCTAAGGCCTATTTTTACTGAGAAATAATCTCCCTCCCACCTACATACTCTAACCTGAGCCTCACTATCCTCGTAAAGACTCTTCACTGCTTTCAATAACCTATCCACCCTATCATATGCCTTTTCCAAAACCATGCCACAAAAACCTCTTTACCTGTATGTAAATACTGTCCACCTATGTGTTTCACTGCAAGCACTTGGTGTACACACCCCCTACCCTTCCTAAAGCCTCCTTGATCATCTGCTATCCTGCTCTCAGTCTTACTCTTAATTATTTCAATAATAACTACCATACACTTTACCAGGTATACTCAGACTTATTCCCCTATAATTTTTATGTTCTCTCTTGTTCCCTTTGCCTTTAAACAAAGGAACTATGCATGCTCTCTGCCAATCCCTAGGTACCTTACCCTCTTCCATACATTTATTAAATAAAAACATTTACCACTCCAAAACTATATCTCCACCTGCTGTTAACATTTCTATCTTTATCCCATCAATCCCAGTTACTTTACCCTCTTTCATTCTACCCACTGCCCCATGCACTTCCCCCCCTCCACTCACAACTGGTTCTTCCTCACTCCAATGTTCCTCATTGCCCTATACACGAAATCACCCTATCTTCATCAATATTTAACAATTTCTCAAAATATTCCCTCCATCTTCCCGATGCCTCTAACTCTCCGATTAATAACTCTTCTCTCCTATTTTTGACTAACAAATCCATTTGTTTCCTAGGCTTTCTCAACTTATTAATCTCACTCCAAAACTTTTCTTATTTTCAACAAAATTTCTTGATAACATCTCACCTACTCATTTGCTCTCTTTTTACATTGCTTCACCACTCTCTTAACCTCTTTTTCTCTCCATATACTCCTCCCTCCTTGCATCACTTCTACTTTGTAAAAACTTCTCATATAACTTTTTCTCTCTTACTACTCTCTTTACATCATAATTAAACCAATCGCTCTTCTTCCCTCGTGCACCCACTTTCCTGTAACCACAAACTAATGCTGAACACTATATTCTTAAACTTACCCCATACATCTACCCCACTGCCTATACTCACACTAGCCCATCTGTCCTCCAACAGTTGTTTATATCTTATCCTAACTGCCTCCTTTAGTTTATAAACCTTCACCTCTCTTACTTGCTGCTTCCATTTTCCTTGTATCCCATCTACCTTTTACTCTCACTGTAATAATAATAATAATTTTATTTCTTTGTGAAAGTTACAATGTGTAATTACAATTTTGATTTGCTAATTACAAAGATAGCCAATATCATGCTGAGGCATTTCGGGCAAACTAAATCTAATACGTAGTAACTAATTAAAACTAGATAAGATAATAGTACATAGTAATTGTACTTAAAACTAAACATAGAATAGCTGTTTTACAATCTTATTTGGACTAAATAATTCTGATGTATACTTAGTACAAAATCTAATTTACAAGGAATGGTGAAGGAGGTAATATTTTATGGAATGGCAGAATTAAAAGCCAGGTGGTCACATGATAAATCTAGTCAGTAGATGTTTGGTTGATTTGGTTAATATTGCGCTGTATAGCCCTTGTGGCTTAGCGCTTCTTTTTGATTACGTATAATAATAATGGTTAATATTGTGAGATAAGATGATTTTTTAGCAGTCCTAAATTTATAAGCTGTCTGGGGATCCTTGACCTGTTCTGGTAGCGAGTTCCAGATCTTTGGGCCTTTTATGTGTATAGCGTTCTTGCATAGTGAGAGTCTTACTCGAGGGATGTTGAAAAGTGCCTTATGCCTTGTATTGTGACTGTGCATTCTGTTGTAACTGTCGAGGAGTAGTTTTAGGGGAGGGTTTACAGTGGAGTTTAAAGTTCTGTATATGTAGTAGACACAATAATAAGAGTGTATGTCTTGTATATTTAGCAAGTTGAGTCTCTTGTAGTTACAATTAAAAAGCACTCTGATATATCTGAGGCCCCTCTATAAACACGTACATCCTGAAGTCTACCTAACAGTCTTTTATCTAAGAACATAAGAAAGGAACACTGCAACAGGCCTACTGGCCTATGCAAAGCAGCTCCAATTCTCGTACCGGCGTAAGCCAGTGCCTTGACCTAGTGAGGTTAGACACGTCACTTAAGGGAGGAGCAGTGCATCCGACCTAGTAGCACAAGCTAGTCAGGTCTAACTTACACCCACCCACACCCACTAATGTATTTATCCAACCTATTTTTAAAACTACACAGCGTCTTAGCGTCTATGACGGTACTCGGGAGTTTGTTCCACTCATCCACAACTCTATTACCAAACCAGTGCTTTCCTATATCCTTCCTGAATCTGAATTTTTCCAATTTAAAGCCATTGTTGCAAGTTCTAAGTTAGATATTCTTAGCATGCTATTTACATCCCCTTTATTAATTCCTATTTTCCACTTATACACTTCAATCATATCCCCCCTAATTCTACACCTTTCTAGAGAGTGCAGGTTCAGGGCCCTCAGTCTATCCTCGTAGGGAAGATTTCTGATACATGGGATCAACTTTGTCATCCTGCTTTGTATGTTTTCCTGTGCATTTATATCCATTCTGTAATACGATGACCAAAACTGTGCAGCATAATCTAAATGAGGCCTAACCAAAGACATAAAAAGTTGAAGAACAACCTGAAGACCACTATTATTTATACTTCTTGCTATGAAGCCAAGGATTCTGTAGTCCAACAAACTACTGTCATTATGCCCAATATCATATCTTGTATACTTATTTATCCTCTTTCTTAAAATATGTGTTATCTATAACCAAACCCCTTTCTATACAAAGTTCAATCAAATGCTCCCCATTATCATTTACACCAGCACCCCAAACTTGCCTACCACACCCTCTCTAATGCCTCTCCTACTTTAGCATTTAGGTCCCCTACCAAAAGATGGCTCAAAAGTTTCTACACGCTCGCTTAACATCTCCCAAAATCTCTCTCCACACTTCTCTCTTCTCCAGAAGCATGCATGACCCACTTTTCACATTGACCCTTATTTTAATCCACATAACCCTTGAATTTATATATCTATATTCCCTCTTCTCTCTCCATAACTGATCCTTCATCATTACTGCTACCCTCTCCTGAGCTCTAACTCTCTCAGATACTCCTGACTTAATCTCATTTATTTCTCCCCACTGAAACTCCCCTACCCCTTTCAGGATTGTTTCACTTAGGGCTAAGACATCCAATTTCTTTTTATTCATAACATTAGCAATTTCTTTCTTATCATCCGCACTACATGTACCGTGCACATTTAAACATCCCAATTTTATAAAGTTGTTTGTTTCCTTGTTTTTAGTAGTTTATACAGGAGAAGGGGTTACTAGCCCATTGCTCCCGGCATTTAGTCGCCTTCTACGACACGCATAGTTTACGGAAGTAGAATTCTGTTCCACTTTCCCATGGAGATAAGCAGAAATGAACAAGAACTAGAAAGAAAATAGAAGAAAACCCAGAGGGGTTATTATATATATGCTTGTACATGCATGTGTAGTGTGACCTAAGTGTAAGAAGTATGTGTGTATTATACATATACATACAGCGTCTCCTCACTTAATGACGGAGTTCCATTCCTGAGACCTCATCAGTAAATGAATTCGTCGCTAAGGGAAGAGCATACTATAATCATGGTGGGCTTGTGTCAACCATTTTTTATATTGTTTTAATGTCACCTTTCCACCATTTATAACACTTCTGGTATATTTTTCAATGTTTATACAGTAGTGTACTGTATACTGAAATGAACAGAATAGAGAAAATCAGCTCTAATATACATTATTTAGTTACGCATACTGATCAGAGAGCCCATCGTAAGTCTGAGTCATCGGTAAACGAGTACATCGCTAAGTGAGGAGAGGCTGTATAATTTTTTTTTAACACACCAGCCATTTCCCACCCAGGCAGAGTGACCCAATGAGAAAGAAAAAAACTTTCATCATTCAACACTTTCACTATCACTCATACATAATCACTGTCTTAGCAGAGGCATTCAGATATGACAGTTTAGATTTCCCTACAAACTGCCAATGTCCCAAACCCCTCCTTTAGAGTGCAGGCATTGTACTTCCCATTTCCAGGACTAAAGTCCGGTCAAATAAAATAACCGGTTTCCCTGAATCCCTTCACTAAATACAGTGGACCCCCTGGTTCACGTTATTAATCCGTTCCTGAGAGCTCATCGTAAAGCAAAATTATTGGAAAGTGAATCAATTTTCCCCACAAGAAATAATGGAAATCAAATTAATCCGTGCAAGACACCCAAAAGTATGAAAAAAAAAAAACTTTTACCACATGAAATATTAAGTTTAATGCAATAGAATACATAATTACAATAACAATAATAACAATAGAATAATCATAATAGAATAATTGACACTTACCTTTAATGAAGATCTGGTGATGATTGATGGGATGGGAGGAGGGGAGAGTGTCGAAGTTTTTAATGTTTAGAAGGGGAATCCCCCTCCATTAGGACTTGAGGTAGCAAGTCCTTTTCCAGGGTTATTTCCCTTCTTTTAATGCCACTAGGACCAGCCTCACCATGCCTAATCACACTATGTATGCCACTACGATTCTTAAATCTTTCAAACCAACCTTTGCTGGCCTTAAATTCACTCACATCACCACTAGTTGCAGGGATTTTTCTAATTAAATCCTCATGCAACTGCCTGGCCTTTTCACAAATGATCGCTTGAGAGATGCTATCTCCAGCTATCTGTTTTTCATTTATCCACACCAATAACAGTCTCTCAACATTTTCTAACACTTGCGATCCCTGTTTTGTAATCACAGTTGCAACTTTTGCAAGAACAGCTTCCTTGATTGCCGTTTTCCTGCTCACTATAGTAGAGATGGTTGATTGGGATTTACTATACAACTTGGCCAGGTCCGACACACGCACTCCACTTTCATACTTTGCAATTATCTCTTTCTTCATTTCAATAGTCATTAGCACCCTTGGTCTCGATGGGTTGGCACTAGAAGCTTTCTTGGGGCCCATGGTGACTTATTTTGCAGAAACAAGCACCAAAAACAGTGATAATATGGAATGTACCGAATGTATCCTTAGATGCGCGCACACTGGCTGGCTTGTAAACACTGGCACACATGGGGCAGTTCAGGCCACACGTGGACAGGTCTCGTACGAATCGTATTGCGTACCGGGTTTTGTAACAGGAACCGAGGCAAATTTTTTGCGATATAAAGATTCGGATACCGGATTTATCGGTTACCGATGACTTCGCGAACCGGGGGTCCAATGTATTACACTGCTCACACTCCAACTGCTCGTCAGCTCCCACATACCATTTGTTTCCATTCATTCCTATCTAACACGCTCACACTTGCTTGCTGGAAGTCCAAACCTCTCGCCCACAACACCACCTTTACCCTCTCCCTCTAACCTTTTCAAGGACGACCCCTACCCCGCCTTCCTTCCCCTGCAGATTTATACGCTCTCCATGTCATTCTACTTTGATCCATTCTCTCTAAATGACCAAACCACCTCAACAAACCCTTTTCAGCCCTCTGACTAATACTTGTATTAACTCCACACCTCCTAATTTCCACACTCCGAATTTTCTGCATAATATTTACACCATCTCCACTGCCTCCAACTGCCTCCTCACTGCAGCATTTACAACCCAAGCTTCACACCCATATAAGAGTGTTGGTACTACTATACTTTCATACATTCCCTTCTTTGCCTCCACATATACCTCAATGCACCACTCACCTTTTTTCCTTCATCAATTCTATGATTAACCTCATCCTTCATAAATCCATCAGCTGATATGTCAACTCCCAAATATCTGAAAACATTCACTTCTTCCATACTCCTCCCCAATTTGATATCCAATTTTTTTTATCTAAATCATTTTATACCCTCATCACCTTACTCTTTTCTATGTTAACTTTCAACTTTCTACCTTTACACACGCTCCCAAATTCGTCCACTAACCTTTGCAATTTTTCTTTAGAATCTCCCATAAGCACAGTATCATCAGCAAAAAGTAACTGTCACTTCCCATTTTGTATTTAATTTCCCATAATTTAATCCCACCCCTCTCCTGAACACCCTAGCATTTACTTCTTTTACAACCCCATCTATAAATATATTAAACAACCATGGTGACATTACACAAAGTATATTAGAGATAATTTCTTCTATTCCATTTATTACAATATACAGTACACTACTGTATAAACATTTAAAAATACAGTGGTACCCCGAGTTTTGAACTTATTTCATTCCAGAATGCTATTCGAATGCCAATACCGAACGAATTTGTTCCCATAGTCCATTTCAGACCCCCAAAAATACAGTTACAAATGCACTTACACAAATACACTGTACATAACTGTTCAAGTTGGGAGCAGTTCAAAACTCAGGGTACCACTGTATACTAAAAACGTTATAAATGGTGCAAAGGTGAAATTAAAACAATATTAAAGATGGTTGACACAAACCCACTACCAATACAGTATGCTCCTTGCTTACTGATGAATTCGTTTACTGATGTGGTCTTAGGAACGGAACTCCGTCATTAACCCTTTGAGGGTCCAAGCCATAGTTCTATACCTTGTCCACAGGGTCCAAGCTGTAGTTCTACACCATGAGCTCAGCTCACTTAGATAAGTTGTGAGTGGCAAACTTGGGCCTATATATGAGAGAATGCATCTATGTGGTAAGCATGCGGTGTATTTTCATATGGTTTTTACGGTTGTATTTGTGGTTTCTTAGTCTCATTTGATAGAATGGAAGATATATTACAGAAACAGAGATGATTTTGATTGGTTTTAATACTGAAAATAGCTTGAAATTGAGCTTAAAGTAGCAAAACGTTCGATTATTGCAGATGTTCAAGAGCAAATAAATGATGTCACGCCTCCAGTACATGTCAAATGGTGGGTCTAATATACGTTCATGAATGCGTTGACATTATTTATACAATTATACTGTATTACAATATTGCATAAAAATAAAAATTCTATTTTTTGATGTGAATAAAAAATCAAAATGGAATTCATCTGCAAAGCCCAGTAACATAACTAATTAACAGAGGAAATGTTACTTTAGTGCCAGGAATGCCTGCATTATTCTGGACCCTATTTTGAAATTGGAATATTTTGAACTTTGTGTGAAATTAGCCAAATTACCAATTTCTGATCACTTTACTGGGTAGTTGAAATAGTTGATTGGGCAGTTTCTTGTGCTAAATTGATAAAATAGAAGAAGAAATAGCTAAGAGTTTGGCTGACTGGAATATTGTAATTGGCCTAAAATAGGAGTCACAGTGGGCAAAATTGCCGATGCATAAATATCGCTGACACAGTAAAATTCACAATAGTGTAATTTCATCAATTTTCCATGAAATTTCATACTTTTGTTTTATTACCTTCAGAAAAAAGATTCTCTACCATTTCATAAGAAAAAGTAATAACTTTTTTTTTTAAATTCTTGGACCCTGGACAATGCATAGAACTACAGCTTGGACCCTCAAAGGGCAAAGTGAGGAAAGGCCGTATACAGGAGGGCCCCTGCTTATTCGGCACCCTCTTCTCGGTGCTCCACATTTTTGCTGGCTTTCATTTGAGCCATTGTTCATTATGTTCAGTGCTTTTACTACTTTTCTGTTATTTTTGCACAACAGTTGCATAAGAGAAGAGTGACCAGTGCTGTACATTAAATTATTATATGTACTGTGAATTTATTTTACTTTATCTTTTTTTATGCCTAGCTGTGCTGAGCACTTAATATATGATAGCGTAAACACATTATTAGGCATTTTAGATGCTTTGATAATGAATATAAACGCTCTTTTCCACCAGCAGGTGATTTTCTCTTATTGCACGAGATCTGGAACATAAGAGCTGTACAAGCAGGGCCCTCCTGTATGTATAGTATATGTATGTGAGTATGTATATATATGTCGTGTCGAATCGGTAAAATTGGTCAGTTAGCAAGAACTCACTAAAAATTAAGTCCATTCTACAATTTTCTCATACATTTAAAGATATAATTTTTTTCATTTATTTTAACATAAAGATTAATAATTTTGTACCAAAAGAACTGTAGAAAACTTACCTAACCTTATTATAACAAGCGCAATTTAATTTAACCTAAACCAACTAAATATATTTTAGATAAGTTTACAATAATTTAATAATAAACAAACACAATGGAATATATATATTTTTTGTTAGGTTCAGAATAATTTTTGTGAAATTATTGCATACACAAATTTTCAGGTGCTTCTTTGGCAAGAAGAGCATTGCTATTTAACCCTTTGACTGTCGCGGCCGTATATATACGTTTTACGAGGTGCCGTGTTTGACGTATATATACTCATAAATTCTAGCGGCTTCAAATCAAGCAGGAGAAAGCTGGTAGGCCCACATGTGAGAGAATGGGTCTGTGTGGTCAGTGTGCACCATATAAAAAAAATCCTGGAGCACGCAGTGCATAATGAGAAAAAAAAAAACTCCGACCGTTTTTTTTTAATTAAAATGCCGACTTTGTGGTCTATTTTCGTATAGTATTTATGGTTGTATTCTCGTTTTCTTGGTCTCATTTGATAGAATGGAAAACATATTACAGAAATAGAGGTGTTTTTTGACTGATTTTTACTATAAAAAGAACCTAGAAATGGAGCTCAAAGTAGGGGAAATGTTTGATTTTTGCCAATGTTCAAAAGTAAACAAATGATGCCATTGTCCAATAAATGTCCAACTAGCCATTCTAATATGCAGTCATGAATGGGTTGATGTTATTTATACAGTTATTACAGCATTGCAGTAGTCTGCATAATAGTAAGTCTAATATTTTTTGTTTGAATAAAAATTCAAAATAGAAAGCAAGAGTAATATCAGAGGGGCCTGGAGACGTGACTGATGAACAAAAGAAAACGTTATTTTAGAGCCTGGAATGTCTGCATTGTTCATTCTGGACCTTATTTTGAAATTGTCATATTTTTTAGTTTTCGTGAAATTGGCCAAATTGCAAATTTCTGACCACATTATTAGGTAGTTGAAATCAGTAAATGGGCAGTTTCTTGTACTCAATCGATAGAAAAAATGAAGTTCTAAAGAAATAGCTATGAGTTTGGGCGACTGGAACAATGGAATTAGCCGAAAATAGGGCTCAAAGTGGGCGAAATCGCCGATTTGTAAACAGCGCCGAGGTCGCTAACTTCGCGAGAGCATAATTCCGTCAGTTTTCCATCAAATTTCGTTTTTTTTGGTGTCATTACAATCGGGAAAAGATTCTCTATCATTTCATAAGAAAAAATAATTTTTTTTTTTTAAATTTTGCGACACCAGGATACACCTCAGGATTGGGGGTTGCGACAGTCAAAGGGTTAAGCCAAAAATCGCAAGTTTTACCCATTTGGCACGACATATATATATATACAGCCTCTCCTCACTTAATTGAGTTCTGCTCCTAAGACCACATCTGTAAATGAATTCGTCGCTAAGTGAGGAACATACGTACTATAATGGTAGTGGGTTTGTTTCAACCATCTTTGATATTGTTTTAATGTCACCTTTGCAACATTTATAACATTTCTGGTATATTTTTAAAGGTTTATACAGTAGTGTACTGTATATTGTAATAAACAGAATAGAGGAAATCAGCTTTTAATATACATTATTCAGGTATGCATACTAGTCAGAGGGCCCGTCGTAAGTCCGAGTCATCAGTAAACAAGTATGTCACTAAGTGAGGAGAGGCTGTATACACCACACGCGCGCGTGATCAGTGAAGAGGCAAGCTCAGACTCGACCCCTGCAACCTCAACTAGGTGAGTACACACACATACACACACATTCTAGCAAAATCATTTCCACGAAAGGCCTAGAGCTATCAATCAACTCCCCCCATGGATGTTTTGCATCTTATATCACTTGTTCACAATTCCTGCATATGTATAGTATATAAAACACTCTCTCAGTCGATCCTGCACACTGCCTCAAAGTGCACAGTACAGTGGAACCTCGGCACTTGAACTTAATTGGCTCCAGAAGGCTGTTCAAATGCCAGTCTGTTCGAGTACAGAACAAATTTTTCCCAACCAATTTTCTTTTTGGTTGGCTGTTATCACTAACCCTCTTAGGCCCCATGGTGACTTATTTATACAAATAATGTAAAAAAACACCAAAAAATGTGAAGCACAAAATAGTTTACAGTGAAGTTTTGGCAGGTCGTGTTTTTTTGGTCGAGTGCCAAGCAAACAGTACACTACTGAGCGATTTGTTTACTGAGCAAAGCATTCGAATACCAAATTGTTCGAGTACGGAGCTGTTCGAATACTGAGGTTCCACTGTACTTTCGCCATGTATAAGTCTTCGTAGCTTCACTAAATAAGCTGATAATGCCTAGGGAACAAACAAATTTTATAATAAAAAGCAAAAGAGTGGAATTATCAGAAGGGAAGATGTAGGGAATATTTTGACGAATTGCTAAATGTCAACGAAAAAAGGGCAGTAGCAATTTCATAAATTGGGCAATGAGGTATAACATCTTGTTGGAGTGAGGAAGAACCAGATTAAGTGTGAAGGCAGTGGGTAGAATAAAAGATGGCTGAAGCAGCTTTACTAGATAGGATCAAAACACAAATGTTGAGAGAAGGTGTGGATTTAATTTTGGAGTGGTTGGTGTATTTATTTAATATAAATAGTACAAACATGAGGAAAGTACCAAAAAGCATGCATGGTTTCTTTGTATAAGGAGAAAAGCAAGTGTGAAAATCATAAAGAAATAAGCCTGTGCATATACTGTTTAAAAGAACTTTTTGTTGGATTTATGGATTTAGAAATGGCATATGACAAGGTGGATAGGAAAGCAGATGTTGCAAATGTATGGAATTGGTGGTAGGTTGTTAAAAGTGGTAAAGAGTTTCTATGTGGAAAGTGAGGCTCAAGTTAGGGTATGTATGAGAGGAAGATTACTGTCTACTAAAAGTAGACAGAGTTGTGGATGCGTGGAACAATCTTCCCAGTAGGGTGATTGAGGCTAGGACTTTAGGCAGCTTTAAAAAGAGATTGGACAAATATATGAGTGGGAGGGGCTGGGTTTGATTTGTACCATTGGGTACCGGAGTAAATTCTTGGGTAGCTTTGGGTAGAGGTCATTTTGATAAGGACCTGCCTTGTATGGGTCAGTAGGCCTTCTGCAGTGTTCCTCCATTCTTATGTTCTTATATCACCATGGTAAACATTTGTAGATGGGGTTGTAAAGGAAGTGAAGACTAGGGTGCTGGGGAGAGGCATGGGATTAAAAGATAGTGAATCTAATACAAAATAAGAGTTGTCACAACTGCTTTTTGCTGAGGATATGAAGAAAAGCTGCAAAGGTTGGTAGATAATTTGGGAGGGTATTTAAAAGAAGGAAATTAAAAGTGAAAATAGAAAAGAGCAAGGTAATGAGAGTAACAGAAAATTTACTCAATGAAAGATTGAATTTCAGACTGGAGGGACAGAGTATGGAGAAAGCAAATGAAGTTAGACATTTGGTATTAGGCTAATCAGCAGATGGGTCTGTAAAAGATGAAGTGAAAAAAAAGTGGGTCGTGTACTGAGGAATTTGTGGAGACAAAATAGGGAATGTACCCGAGTTTAGTAGTACTAATACTGTTATATGGGTGTGAGACATTGGTTTTAAATGTTGCAGGTAGGACACCTCATGGAGAAATGCCCAGCACTGCTCTGCAAAGACTGTCAGGATGCACTGTCAGTTCACCATATTTTAATAGACTGTCCTGTTTATCAGTGGGTATGCAGAATTCACTTCTGACATCTCCAACTCCCTAACTGACATTAACCTCGACCACTTATTGCACCAACTTTGATTTTAATTGACCTCTTGCACTTTCCCTTAACCCAACTAACCCCTTACCCTTGTAAACTCTTGCCCCCTCACTCTCCTAACCTCTGCTTATTTCTCCTTTAGCTCATCCCTACCTGCAGCACTGTGGGACCCTTTCACGTTTAGCACTTAATTTAATTATTATTATTATTATTATTATTATTATTATTCTTTCAACGTACTAGCTGTATTCCACCGAGGTGGGGTGGCCCAAAAGGAAAAATGAAAGTTTCTTCTTTGAAATTTAGTAATATATACAGGAAAAGAGGTTACTAGCCCCTTCCTCCCGGCATTTTAGTCACCTCTTACAACACGCATGGCTTACGGAGGAAGAATTCTGTTCCACTTCCCCATGGAGAATTATTATTATTATTAGCAAGAAGGTTGGAGACAGTGGAAACCTTATGTTTGAGGGTAATGTGTGGCATGAATATTATGCAGAGAATTCACAGCTTGGAGATTAGGTGGTGTTGGGTTACTAAAAGTATTATTCAGAGGGTAGAAGAGGGGTTGTTGAGGTGGTTGGGATATACAGAGAGGATAAAGCAAAACAGAAAGACTAAAGGCATATAAATCTGGGGTGGAGGGGAGGAGGGTTAAGAGTTATCCCAGGAAGGGTTGAAAGGAGGGGTTAAGGGAAGTTTTGAGGGCTATGGTTTTGGTCATCCAAAAGGCTTGTGTGAGCAAGTTAGACAGTAGTGGGGACAAGTGGATTTTATGATTTAACACACAGTTGGAGTGTGAACAAGGTAATATTTATAAAGGGATTCGTGAAAACCAGTTAGCACTATAATTACAGTGCCTTCACTCTGAAGAAGGTGTAGGGATGTTGGAGTTTGGAGGTTCATCTAAACTGATGTCAGCATGCTTATGGCAAGACATTAATAAATTTTTTTGTGTGTGTGTGTGAGGGGAGGGTCGTCCTACCTTGGTGGGAGATGACCCTTTTCGTTCTAACAACTGCCTCCACACTTACATTTGGCTCTTTTTTACTCCTTGCTTAATTTATGAAATCACTGCCTCCCTTTCTTCAAGAGCATTTAACAACTCTTCAAAATATTCACTCCATCTTCCCAGTACCTCCACCTCCCCATCTAATACACTGGACCCTCAGTTAACGACATTAATGCATTCCAGAGAGCTTGTCTTTAACCGATTCTGTCGTTATCCGAATTAATTTTCCCTATAAGAAATAGTGGAAATCCAATTAATCTGTTCCAGACACCCAAAAGTATTAAAAAAATTTGTTTTACATGAAATATACATTTCCCTACACAGAAAACAATGAGACATGCAGAATAAATACATAAATAAATAATAAAATGGTGCTTACCTTTATTGAAGATGTATTGATGAGTGATGAGATGGGAGGAGGGGAGAGGATGGAGGAGTTTACAATTGTTTGGAAGGGGAATCCCCTTCCATAAAGACTTCAGGTAACAAGTCCTTTTCTGGGGTTACCTCCCTTCTTTGGTTTTTAATGCCACTAGGACCAGCTTGAGAGTCACTGGACCCCTGTCGCACCAAAAATCTGTCCACAGAGCTCTGTTTCTGTCATCTCTAAGTTTTCCCTAAAATGGGACACAACATTGTCATTGTAAATGTTGCCAGCACAGCCTGCAACAGCTGTGTCAGGGTGATGTTTATCCATAAATGTTTGCACATAAGAAAGCAGGAACACTGCAGCTGGCCTGTTGGCCCATACTAGGCAGGTCCTTCACAAACCATCCCACTAACAGAATTGTATTTGCCCAACCCAATTTTCAATGCTTCCCAAGCAATAAGCTTCGATAATTCTATTCACTCATGCACAAGTACCAATCAAATCAAATCGTGTGTGGGGAAGTACTCTGTCTGGTATGTGGGGAAGTACCCTGGCTGGTATTTGGGGAAGTACCCTGGCTGGTGTGTGGGGAAGTACCCTGGCTGCTATGTGGGGAAGTACCCTGGCTGGTGTACATAAAAAAGCAGGATCACTGCAGCAAACCTGTTGGCCCATACTACCACCACCACTTACATATCTTTCTACAAACTTTTTCTTGAATTCTATAGTGTTTCTCACCCTCTTTACCAAAGGGCTGGCACTAGAAGCTTTCTTTGGGCCCATGGTGGCTTGTTTAGCAGTTACTAGCACTAAAAACAATGGAATAATACAAAATGTATCGTATGTATGCGTGGAATCGTCCTCACTGGCTTGTAAACACTGGTACACTGGCTGTACATGTAAATGGAGTGTACAGGCGCTCACTCCGCACGGACACGTTTGGGACGATTGTCTTTAACCGAGGTTTTTGGCGTTAACTGAGGGGCCACTGTAATACTCTCTCTTGTTTTTAATTATTAAACTCGTTGGTTCCCTAGCCTTTCTCAACTTAGTGATCTCACTCTAAAACTTCTTCTTAAACTCAGCATATGCAGCCACTAAAATAAGTGGTTTTCAAGCAAACAACAATACTATGACTAGCTGAAACTCAAATCCAAGACTTTAGGCTGCCCCAGGAAGTCAGCTAAACTTTTGATGCTCTAGACCAGTGGTTACCAAACTTTTTCAGGTTGCCTACCCCTTGGCTTCCAAGCCACATCCCTAGCGTCCCTCCTCCCACACACATACAAATACAGTGGACCCCCGCATAACAATCACCTCCGAATGCGACCAATTATGTAAGTGTATTTATGTAAGTGCGTTTGTACGTGTATGTTTGGGGGTTTGAAATGGACTAATCTACTTCACAATATTCCTTATGGGAACAAATTCGGTCAGTACTGGCACCTGAACATACTTCTGGAGTGAAAAAATATCGTTAACCGGGGGTCCACTGTACACCTCTTTCTTGCTATTAGGTTTACTGCAAATTAAAAACAATTAATCAAACACTATAAGCAAGTGTATTATTTCACAAATAAAAATTAACATATTAAACCAATTTATTTAACAACATGAAAGAGTAAATTTACGTCTCATCTGTAACTACACTGTCTTCACAATTTCAATGATATGGATGTGCTTGGCGCAGGGACATCAGCTTCTCAACAGCAGGCATGAAGGCACTAAGAAGTCTTAGATCCCCACATTCAGTAATTTTCAGTCTTTCTCTTTGCTTGGTAACAAGTTTGGCAACTGCACTGAAGCTTTGCTCTACTATATATGATGTTGGGAAGGCAATAAAATACATCTTGACTTTGTTCCACAGTGCAGGGTAGTGGTCAGAAATGTTCTTTTTTGTAACCAAAAATCTAAATACAATTTTTTTTTTGAACTTTGGTCTCAGCTCAATGTCCTTTTGGGGTGAAATCAATTCTTCCTCCATCATTTCTGTTTCCTCACTGCTGATATCTAGGAATGGATTGATCACCCAGTCTGGTATTTTAAGCAAAAAAAGATCCTAAAATTTGTCAGACATGTCTCTATGCTGTTCATTTAGGTGTGCACAATACACATGAAGGTCATCGTCTGGTATGCTCTTCTCCTACAATTCAGAGAGGCTTGGAAACAGGAAGAGCTCACAGAAGGATATGTTACATTTGAATAACTGTAACCTGAACAGAAAATGTCTGAAGAATTCAACAGCTGCTTTAAAAAGTGAATAGAAACATCTCAGGAAGTTTCCCTTTGACAACCACATAACTTTTGTGTGCCACCCCCCTACCACCCCCTTTTTCCTCAATGCTCCCCTGGATCTTTCCACTGCCCCCAGGGGGCAGTACCACCCACTTTGGAAATCACTGCTCTAGACCATCACAACACCGAGAACCTAATTGATGTGATGAATGGTTTGAAAAACCGACAAGTTGAAGATTGAGACACTTATGCAACATATGGGAATCTTTATTCAGGAAACGTTTCGCCACACAGTGGCTTCATCAGCCCAATACAAAGTAGAAAGGCGTAAGGAGAGGAGGAGTTTGAGGTAATCAGTCCCTCAGCCTGGAGTCGATGTGTTCAGTCCATCAATGTACATTAGTGTCTCAATCTTCAACTTAATTGATGCTTATTTTATCACCACTCTCATATAGGAGTGAACAGTTTTAAATCTGAGATGCAATCAAATGAAAGTGTCTTGACAAAAACAGCAAACATCAACATATATATTGTTTACACTGGAGAATGTTATGTTATGCTGACTACACAAATTGGACAAAGAGAAACATTCCTACCTTAGCTCCACTGGTGTATCTTCAGAGTTTCGGACATGACAGTTAATATGGACACATCGCAATGTAGTCATTTCATATGTACAGTAGGTGCTAGGGATTTGGACACTTCTGGCTTGTGCTGTAAACAAGTCAAAATATAATTTTTTTTTATATATTAATAACCCCATAAGGGTTAGGCTTCAACAGTGTCTAGTAGATTATCAGGTTTGATCCAGTGAACGGAAGGATAACTCTAATTTCTTGGATAAAAATTCCTTCAACAGCATAAAGACCCGGTCCTCTCTGAGGTGGCTTCATTATGTACATCACAGGAACATCAGTGGATAGTAAACAAACACTCAGCCTAAATATTCCTTGCTAACAAGTTTCAAATGGTACCAAACTAAACTTGTCTGACATAAAATCTCCAAGCATAAGAATATGAAGGAATTATAATAAACCTGACAGACTGTTTTTATTACATTCAAGAAAAGTACTATAACTATAAAGATATTTTCATGCTTAACAGCAGAAGTGAAGGTACCTCAGCAGAAGTGAAGGTGCCAGGCCATGGTGCCCCATGGCCTGGTGGCTAAAGCTCTCGCTTCACACAGCAAGGGTCCAGGTTTGATTCCCAGCAAGGGTTGAAACGTTGGGCATGTTTCTTTACACTGGCTGTTCATGTTCACCTATCAGTAAAATGGATACCTGGGTGTTAGTCAACTTGTGTTGGTCGCATCCTGGGACAAAACTGACCTAATTTGCCCGAAATGATCTGCATAACAAGCAGCTTTCTATATGCAGTGGAACCTCGGCTTATGAGTGCCCCACCATATGAGTTTTTCAGGATACAAGCAGTCGCTCAGTCGATTTTTTGTTTCTGGATGAGAGCAAAAATTCAGGATTTGAGCACAAATTCAGGATGTGAGCAAAAATTCAGGATGTGAGCAAAAATTCAGGATGCGAGCTTCCCCCTCAATAATTTTTTTTTTTTAGACCTCCAGATCTTACAAAAGTAAAAGTGAATATATAATTGTAGGTCATTGTCGTGATGTATTATGTTGTTTTTACTGCTTACGACTATAACTGCAACAGAAATAATAGTATTTCTTACCTTAAATTGTGGGTGTTGGTGTTTGTGGATGATTGTGAAGAGAGTGGAGAGTTATGTTGTGGTTCTACTGGGCTGAGGTGGATGGTAGAGGTTCTGGTACTGAAGTCAATGCTTGTACTGGAGTGTGCATAAATTCTGTAATGGATTTCTGTTCTATTTTACCCTGCAGTACATTATACAACTGATGGTAAGGCATCAGATGCTCTAGACACTGTTTCAGGGTCCTCTTCAGTGACAAAGTCTAACTTTAAGTCATTCAGTCAGTCAGTCAAGTCATTCAGTAAGTCAGTCAAGTCATTCAGTCAGTCAGTCAAGCCATTCAGTCAGTCAGTCAAGCCATTCAGTCAGTCAGTTAAGTCAGTAAGTTGGTCAGTAAGTTGGTCAGTAAGTCAGTCAGTAAGTCAAGTTAGTAAGTCAAGTCAGTAAGTCAGTAAGTCAGTCAGTCTAGTCAGTAAGTCAGTCAGGTCAGTAAGTCAGTCAGTCAAGTCAGTAAGTCATTCAGCAACACAGCTAGCTTGTAGAAGGGAAGTGGAACTGAACAGGTAAGCTGAGATGGTGGTGTTGGGGGATGGCAGGAAATCTCCTCCACTGACCCACAACAAGGTGGCTGCTTGACGCAGGGAATGGCTGCCACAACTTGTCACATAATGACATATTTTATTCATTCTAGAGTATATATCAGGTTTCTATGTTATTTATATTGTTTATTATGTCATATTAGATGAACTGTGATAGATAAACAAGCTGTAGAGATGATGATAGCGTCATATTCTTGCCTTCTGAGAGCAGGAATTCCGCTGGAACGGATTAATGGCATTTCAGTTAATTTAAATGAGGCAAATTGACTCAGCATACGAGCAGATCGGGATATGAGCAACGTCACAGAACGGATTAAATTCGTAAGCTGAGGTTCCACTGTAGTAGTATGTCACTGATATCAGCTAGGCCTGTATACCTTATACATGTACTTGTAAAAATAAAGATATTATATTATCATTATTATTATTATTAAGAGAAGAAATAGAGGGGGAGAACAAGAGATTGAGGGGTAAGGTAGAAGGAAAAAGATAGAGGGGGAGAGAGAGAGAGAGAGAGAGAGGGAAAGAGGTAGGAGGGGGGATGGAGTGGGAAAGGACATGGAGGAGAAGTAGCAAAGTTCAGGACCAGAATGGTGAAAAAGTAACTAAGGTCAGCACAGGAGGAGTGAGGAAGCAGGTAAAGTCAGGACAGGAGAGGTGAGGAAGTAGCTAAGGTAATGTCAAGAGAGGTGAGGAAGCAGCTAGGGTCAAGTCAGGAGAGGTCATGAAGTAGCTAAGGGCAGACAAAAACAATTACATTAGTGGGAACTGATAAATTTGTTGGGATTATACAGCACCTGGAGAAATGGGAGGCAATCGAATTCGATCCATGGAAGAGAAAATTTCTCATTTCTAAGACAAAGACCCCTCAAGAGCATCAAGGAACCTCTCTCAAGGGGAGGGGGAAACAGCAAAAAAAATAGGTTTTAATTACTATAGTCACTGGAAATCCTAAACCCGCAGATAGTTATACAGTGCCTTGGGATTGGGAGGTAAATTGGTTCATTCCAAGGAAGGGTAAGACTGATCTAATTGCTACTGAGATATTGGACAATATGAAATTTAGAGATCAGTTGCTAAAAAGATTTAAGGCAAACAGACAGGACATTGAAGCACTAAATGAATTCCAAAGGGTGAGGAACAGAGTGCAGGGGTTTATAAAAGGAGCAAAGGCAAGGCACTATTGCTCAAAAATCGAAGAGTACAAGAATAACCCTAGAAAGCTCTGGCATCAACTAAAACAGTTGGGGTATAGCCATAAACCCGTAGAAGGTCTAATATAGTACTAAATGTCGATAACAAAGTATGCCATGAAACCACTAAAGTGGCAAATTGTTTTAATTCCTACTAAACATCTGGTTTCTTTTCTTTTTCTGTCTCATAAACACACTAGATAACAGGGATATCTTGCTACTCCTACTTACACTTTGGTCACACTTCACAGACACGCACATGCATACAGTGGACCCCCGCATAGCGACTTTAATCCGTGCAAGAGGGCTCATTGTTATGCGAAATGATCGGTATGCGAATGAATTTTCCCCATAAGAAATAATGGAAATCAAATTAATCCGTGCAAGACACCCAAAAGTATGAAAAAAAAAAAATTTTACCACATGAAATGTTAATTTTAATACACACAAACTGAAAAAGGCATGCACAATTACATGACACTTACTTTTATTGAAGATCTGGTGATGATTGATGGGATGGGAGGAGGGGAGAGAGAGTGTTAGTTTTAGAAGGGGGAAACCCCTTCCATTAAGACTTGAGGTGTCGAGTCCTTTTCTGGGGTTACTTCCCTTCTTCTTTAATGCCACTAGGACCAGCTTCAAGTCACTGGACTTCTTTCGCACAACATATCTGTCCATAGTGGCCTGTACCTCTCGTTCCTTTATGACTTCCCTAAAGTGTTTCACAACATTGTCCCTGTAATAATCACCAGCACGGGTTGCAATAGCTGTGTGAGGGTGATTTTCAATCCATGAAGGTTTGCACTTCAAGCCACTTTGCACAGATTTCCTTTAAACTTGTAGTAGGGAATTTTCTTCAATTTCTCTCTCACCTCCTTTGAACCAGTTTTCCTCAGGTCTGGCCTCTTGCTGTTGAAGTTGATCTATCAGCTCATCAGTGGTTAGTTCTTCATTGTCCTCCTCCACCAACTCTTCCAATCACCCCACTAACCTCCAACCCCAAGGACTTTTCCCAATGCACAATGGATTCCTCAACTGGCATAATCCTCTCGGGTTAGCCTCAAACCCTTCAAAATCCCTTTGTCTACACATTCGGCCACAGTTTCTTCCAAGCAGAGTTTTAAGGGCTTCTTAGTCACTCCCACCCAAGCCTTACCTATAAGGTTTTTCACAATTGAGGGTATTAAAGTGCTCCTCCAAAACTCTCTTTAAATCAGTTGAGTTTTCTGAGGTCACTACAAAGCACCTTTCAAAAAGAGCTTTTTGTACAGTTTTTTGGGGAATTTGCAAAACCTGCTGGTCCAGGGCTGCAGGAGAGGATTGGATTTGGGGGCAAAAAATTTCCCCTTTAAAGAAGCCATGCCCCATAAAGTCGCTCGCCACCGTAGGGTGACCCGGGCATGTCTAACACCAGAGAAATTAAGTTTTAATTTCTTTCAGTTGGGAATCTTTCACATTGGGGAATGCATGGTGTAACCATCATAGAAAAAGTCCCCCATGACCCAGCCTTTCGTTTGCCCCCCCCCAGCACACAAAATTTTCCCTTTAGACATCTTTTTTCCCGAACGTCTGGAGTTTCAGAGTGTACACTATAAAGGCTTCACTTTTTCAATCACCAACATTGAACACATCAACAAAAGCCTGTCTTTTTATAGGGTTTTCCGGGAGTGCCTTTTCCTCCTATAATTAGCCCCCGGCTTTCCCAAAACAGGCCGTTTCATCAAATTTAAAAACTTTTTCAGGTTTCATCCTTCACTGTCTATGACTCCTTGAATTCCTGCACATATTTTTTCAGCTGCTTGTGGCCGAACTGGCAGCCTCACCATCCTTTTCACACTTGTAGCCAAAACCTTCTAAAATCCTCAAACCAACCTTTGGGGGCCTTAAATTCACTCACATCATACTGTTCAGGCTTTTTTTTTTAATTAAATCCTCAGCAACTTCCCCTACCTTTCGTTAGATCGCTTGAGAGCCCAAATCTCCTCTAGCTGTTTTTCATTTATCCACACCAATAAGACCTAAAACATCTTCCACCTTTGCGATTCTGTTTTTCAAAACACATTTAAAAAACCTTTTGGCAAAAACACTTCCTTGTTTTGCCTTTCTGTTGCCCAAAATATACGAGGGTTGTTTGGGGTTTTTTGTAAAACCCGGCCGGGTCGCGACACCACTCCACTTTCATACTTACAAGACTCTTTTTTTTTCATCTCTAAAATTCTCACTCTTTTTTGCTGTAGGGTTGGCCTGAACTTTCTTGGGGCCCATGGCCCCCTTTTTTTTCAATAAATCACCAAAAAAAACTGTAATAAACAAATGTTCCGATTTATGCTTTGGGTTTACCCGGGGGCGGGGTAAACAATGCACCGCACACATGTGAGGGGGCTAAGGGCGCAATTGGGCGCTCCGGACAAGAGCGGTGAGCGGGTTTTTGAGCGGGATGCGAGGCAAAACTTTTGCATAAAGCGACCGGTAATGCGGATTGAACGGTATTGATCCGATGGTAATGCGGGGGTCCACTGTATATATATACAAACTTCTAGTTTTTTATTCCCTTTTTCTAAATAGCTCTTGTTCATCGTTAATTTCTTCTATTTCCATGGGGAAGTGGAGAAGAATCTTCCTCCACAAGCGCATGCGTGGTCGTCTGAGGCGACTAAAATGCGGGAGCAATGGCATAGTAACCTCCCTTCTCCTGTACACATTCTATTTACTAAAAAAGAGAAGAAAACCTTTATAAAACTGGGATGCTTAATGTGTGTGGATGTAGTGCAGATGACTAGAAACAGAATATTGCTATGTTATGA